ATTTAATATTTTTTAATCGGACACGTTTTTGGCGTGTCCGACACGTGTCGGACGAGTGTCGTGTCAGACACGGTGTCGGACACTGCACGCCTCTTCGAGGAGAAGTGTCGGTGCATCATAGCATGTAATCATTCAATTTTAAAAAAATCACTGAAGTCCTGCACTCGTATCGTTGTGATACTTCTTATGTATCAAGTTCCTGATAAACAAATTCACTTCTTCAAACTAATTTGGTATCTGTACATATCGCATAAAGCTGTGAAAAGTTGTGTTTCTATTAAAATCATTCGAAAATATATCTACCAGATTTTTTTTTTCTTTGTGGTCATTTGATGATGATCACAGCTAGCTTAATTGGAATTCGATTCACTCTTATAGTCTATCATTGTAAAATGTAATTAATCATAACAGGTTCAAGTGCATAGATTTGGATGGAAATGGAATTATAACAATTGCTGAGATGCAATTCTTTTATGAGGAACAATTCCATCGGATGGAGTGCATGGCACAGGAGCCAATACTCTTTGAAGACATTTTATGCCAGATAGTTGATATGGTTTCTCCCGAGGTTCCTTTTCTCTCCTTTCGAACTCAATTAGTCAAATACCAGTAGAGGTGGCTTCATATTGCTCTAAAACTTCCTAACAAAAGTGTTTTATGTGCAGAATGAAACCTATTTTACACTAAGAGATATAAAAGCATGCAAGCTTTCAGGAAATGTTTTCAACATACTTTTCAATCTCAATAAGTTCATGGCATTCGAAACTCGCGATCCTTTTCTAATCCGTCAAGTGAGCATTTTTTATCTTTTCATTGCTTACAACTCAAAGCAAAATTGGGTGAGGATAGCTATTAAAATCTTTGAATTTGTTTGGCCAATATGTTCATGTAGGAGCGGGAGAATCCAACGCTCACTGAATGGGATCGCTTTGCACGTAGAGAATATATTCGGCTATCTATGGAAGATGGGGAAGATGCTTCTAATGGAAGTGGGGATATTTGGGAGGAATCACTGGAGGCACCCTTTTAAGGTAGAACTATGTTGGTGACATTTGATTTTCAGTAACTTTTGACATTTACTTATTCATTTGTGATTATCAGTTTGTTTGGGATAGCTTTATCATAATTTATTTTTTGATATCAGTCACATTTTTAAACTAAAATTTGCTACATGAAATGACTTGGTTAGAAAATATTAGAAATGATCTTTCTTTATTAGATTTAAATGAGAATTTGACTTTTAACATGACACAATGACGAAAAAGAATTCATGTAGCCGACCCCACATAGTGGGACAAAGGCTTGATGTTGTTGTTGTCACATTTTTGTTTGGCTCCAATTTTTCTATTGTTTTTAAAAACTTTATTGGTTGAAATAGCTTTTTAAACTAAAATTTGCTAGTTTGATTGTTATAAAAATGTTAGTGTTATTTTTTTCGAAAAGAAAAAAGGTTTATAATATCTAACATGGCTTTTAAATATTATGTTTTTCCTGACAATTCAATCTGTTCTAAAAAAATCTTCGATCTAATGGCAAATTCAACTCTATGTTCTTTCGCCAATCATAAAGTCCATGTGTAAAATTGTTTGAAAATACTCTTACACCTTCACAATTATATACTTTTGTCATTGTCGCACGCCGAACGTCGTCCGAAGACCAATAAAAATGCGTCACGTCACCTTGTGCTCGGTACAACGGCTTGGTATTGCTGACGTGACACATTCTGGTTGGTCTCCGGATGACGTTCTGCATCCGATCTCCGCACAGAATAATTTCACCATTTTCTAATTGATGGATGGAGCTTGTGTTGCATCTGTTATTCACACCTAAGAATTTCTACGCCTCTCGGCCTGATTATGAAAGCAAGAACTTTTTATTTGGTCTCCGGATGGCGTTGTGCACTCAGTCAGTTCAAATTTATTGCAGGTACCCATACTTGATGAGGGACGAGGGGCCAAGCAATGTGCAAAGACTATTCTTTTAAAGGTGACTTGCACTTTGCATCAGCATTTTGCGTTATTGATGAAGTTAATCATTTTAAACACTGGTAGATGTTCAACATAATAGACCTACAGCTGATCCTCCTAATGTTAGAAATGGATTTGTATATGTCCTTCAATGGAGGATCAACTTGATTATTACTGTCTTCACTCTATGCAAGAGATTTTTAGGTCAGCATTACTTATGATTTTTTTGTGTGCGTTTGATTAGTATTTTTTTTCTCTATAATGTCTATTATTATTGCTGTGTCACATATCAATTCTGAATAAAATACTAGTCAAACGCATATAAGAAAATTTTTTGAGCTAATTTCGCTGAAAAACTAGCCTCCTTTCACTCAGTTTGTGCAGATATGGGCTCTGTTATTCACTAACCATTGATGGCTTGCTTTAATGCTTGTTTAGGCCTTGTTTGGGGAATTTTTATTAGGTCCGGTGTCCTGACGTAGCTCTACGTTCGGACGTCAGTAAAATGCTGCCACGTGCTATTACTCTTTATCGTGCGGCCCGACGACCCGACCCGGAACGGACCCGGGATTGCTATGTATTGGCTGATTTGTGCAGACCGGGGTATTGCTAGGTATTGCTCGATATTGCTCGGCAATAACGAGAAATACCATTATGTCAAGACCAATACGTAGCAATACCGAGCAAATATCGAGCAATATCTAGCAATATTGAGCAATATCCCGATTTTGCTAGGTATTGGTCTTGACAGAGCGGTATTTCTCGTTATTGTCAAACAATACCTAGCAATACCGAGCAATACATAGCAAAACCCGAACATAGCAATACTGGGTTCCGGTCTGGGTCGGGCCGCGCGGTAAAGAGTAAGAGCACGTGATGACATGCTATTGACGTCCGGATGTAGAGCTACGTCAGGTGTCCGGACCTAATAATTGTTCTTGTTTGGGACGGCTCTCTTCCTGCTTCTTAAAGCATCTTTTTATTTAAAAAGTTAAAATTTTTATATTAGAAAGCCGGTTTAAGAAGCAGTAAGAAAGTCATCACAAACGAAGTCTTAATCTATTATTCTTTTTATTATGTTTTAAGAAACCTTGCTTTAACAAGTGCTAAATTGAAAGATTATAAATCAGCCTAAAGTTACTCGTAAAGTCAATAGATGGATGGTCACACAAAGGCAACATCTCTCTTAGGTTTTGTTTGGGATAATTTTTTTACTGCTTTTTAGAGCGGTTTTTTGGTAAGAAAATTTTAATTTTTGTAATAACAAATTATTTAAGAAGCAATAAAAAAAATGTCCTAAATGAATCCTTAAATGGCCAGATAATTGTCTTAATGCTTTGTTTTTGCAATTTGAGTTGGGCCATTATTTTTTTCACTGTTAAAAACAATTTTATTCTGAAAATTTGCTTTTCATGGCAGCTTTCAACAAAGCTGTTTTTCCTACAGCAGTTTTATAATCACTTTCATAAAAAAAATTGGAACTGCCCCATATAGGTACTTAAAAAGGATAAATTATAATGCTGTTTTGTAAGAATAATTTGATATAGAACTCTAGAATCTTGTTTGTGTTCATGGCTAATTTTTTAAATTTCTTATATATTAAAAAATAAATCTTTTATATAATTTTATTTCATGTCATTAATATTTTTAAATAATTATATTTAATTCTCATAAATCCCCTATGTACTTCATAACCTCTCTTCTCTTTTTTTTTTTTTTTTTTTTTTCTTGGCTGAATGTGCGTCCAAAAAAAAATTATATGTATGTGATAGAATTTTATTCAAAATATTATTTGAATAAGATATAAAATTAATTATAGATAAATAGACAAAAAAACTTATAAGAAGGATAATTATAAAATGAATTTCACCTAAGAAGATAGAGAATATTTAGGGTTCGTTTTGTATAGTTTTTTACCACTATTATTTTCGAAAGAAAATATATAATGAAAAGATACTTTAAAAAATAGCAAGAAAATTATGATTATGATTGATATATCATCAAAAATTTATCTTGATCGGGCATGAATCTTAAAGCATAGCAAAATCAAGTTGGTAACTTCCAAAATTAAATTTGGAACCATATAAGCTCCAATTCTAGCAAACTTATAGTCGAACTGAATGTCTTGAAAAGACGAACCTAACGATACCAAGTTCGACTCAATATGAGCCCAAATGAGACTAAATCAAAGACTCAAAGCGCACTTGAAAGGTTCAAACTATAAATTGGATTGATCAAACAGTTTTCAAATGTGGCATGCTTATAGTTGAATCGAGCGGCACAACAAGACGAATCCAATGAGCCCAATATTATCAAATTTTGATATCATTAAGAAATTCAAATGCCCAGTGAATATTCCACGATCAAGGGGATCAATATCGAGCGTCCATTCAAACTGCTCCTAACATACCTTGATCTCCCTCATAATTATTGGTCATGTCACTTCTAGAAAATTATAAATAGACTCATCATCCCTCATTAAAAAGGGGAGCGAGGAAAGCAAGGAAGAGAAGAAAGAGAGAGAAGCTAGAGCTCTCTTTCCACAAGACTCGTCCTCGAACATCGTCAGACAATCGACTGTCGTCGAACTATCATCAGACTTCTGCTCTACCATGGAATGATGTCGGACTTAAGTCTGACCATCAATTGACACCAAACTTCTACTCGGCTTCCAATTATTGTTGGATTTACACTCGGCCACCAACAGACGTCAGACTTCTACTTTGCATCCAACAGACCCTGGACTTCTGCCTGACCACTGACTAAAGCCGGACTTCCACCCGACCACCGACTATGGTTCTTCTGACCTTCGTCGCTAGACAACGATCTTTTTGACCATCGTCACCCGCCGACTACGCTCCTTCCGACCTACATCGCTAGATAATAGTATTTTTGACCAATATTGCCCGTCGACTACAATCCTTTTGACCTCCATCACTAGACAACGGTCTTTCTAACCATTATCACCGACCGACTACGATCCGTCTGACATTTATCACCAGACTAACGTCTTTCCGACCTCCATCACCCGCCAACTATGGTCCTTCTAACCTTCATCGCCAGACTATGGTCGTTCTGACTACTGTTACCTGCCGACTATAGTCCTTATAACCTTCGTTGCCAGACAACGATCTTTATGAGAACTGTCGCCCGCCGATTATGGTCCTTCTGTCCTCCGTCGCTAGACAACGATCTGCCTGATCATGGTCGATTAAGATCCTTCCGACCTTCGTCGCCCAGACAATGGTCTTTCCGACCTTTGTCGCTTGCCAACTATGGTCTTTCTGACCTACTTCGCCCGCTGACTACAATATTTCTGATCACCGTCACTCAACTATGATCAATCTGACCTCCGTCGCCCGTGGACTATGGTCATGCCAACTTAACTAATATATCAATATTTATTCTTCCAATTCTCATCATGTAATGCACTCTATATGATGCATATTTGTTACATCAAAATAAGGTCTTCCCCCCAAGGAAGGACCTCATTTGTAATTAACTGCAAACACTAGTGGATTCATTCAAATTAGGTCAGACCCCAAGATTTTTTCCTCTTTTTCATGGGTTTCCATGTAAAGCCTCTAGTGTCTCTTATGAACGTTATGCCATCTCTTTTATGTGCTGGATCTTCGTACAAAGCTAAGATGTTAAATTTACATTTCTCTGTCGCCGTGAATATTTCACGACGCAACAATGATATTAAAATTTTGACAAAAAAAAAAAAATCAATTGATGAATTGCTTTATGACATAATGTAAAATAAAGAAATATTTAAGGAATGAAAAAAAAAAATCATAAATACATAGATTTTGAGTGACTCAGCTTCTAAAATATATTTCCACTTGCTACGCTCACATTGAGATATTTAGCCAACGGTGTCATTCAAATCTTCCTTTAAAAAAATTAAAGCGTTAATAATTTACATATGATAATTATTTATATAATACTATAGTCTTTCAATGACATGAAAAAATAATTGCTATTTGCATGTTAATATTTTGACTTTCTAAAGCTTTACTTTCATGTGGAAGTCATTTGAATCATTGAATTCATAATTATATAAAATTTTAAATATTTAAAAAATATGGTGATGCTTAGAACGTGAGAGTTGTTGGTGAGCACATTCATTATGTCAATATTTAGCATAAGATTTATTATTAAAATTTTGCTAAAAACTTTGTGCAAGTTAATCCACCATTGAAGTAAGTCATGACCATCGATGCGTGAAGAGCGATAGGATCTATGGAGAATGATAGTGTGAGAATTCTGATAGGACCAGCAACGAAGAGCAGCAAACTTGTATGTTATGTTGACATATGATAATGGAATGTAGGGGTGCAAACGAGTCGAGTAGAGGTCAAGCTGACTCACAATAGAAATCGAGCTCGTTAAGCGACAATCTTCCTGCGCGAATGCGGTTCGCACGCGCCTGCTTTAGATTAGCCCCGCCATTCCACCTCTTCTACCACGAATGCGGTTCGCACGCTCACGAGCATCGATTCAACCCCCCCAGTTCTTATGCGACACGAGCTTCGATTTGCCCTCGTCATTCCGCCTTCTGCCCCTACTATTTCGTGAGCCGCTCGACGAGTAATCGAGTCGAGCGGACAACTGTTTGAACTAGAGGTCAATAAGCCCAACGAGTTCGAAATCATGTTCGAGCTCGTTAACGAGTCGAGCTCCATTTGGCTTGACTTGGTTACACCCCTAATGGAATGTGTCCTTTTTGTTTTATTTTGATATTTTGATATTATATATAAATATATTAAATATTTAAATGTTAATGTTTTCGATTTCTATGCATGTAAATGCCCTTTTTTTATTATTATCAATAGAAAATGTTCTTGTACGAAAAAAGTGATGTCAAAGCTAAGGAAAAAGCACATTTTTAACTAAATTTAACTAAAAAGGAAAAAAAAAAACACATTCAAATGTTTTAATAACATAAAAATATCACTAAATTTAACTTTTTTTATAAAAGGAAAAAAACACATTTTTATGCATATATTTTTATGTGATTGAAAGACTAGTTTTATATAAATAATTATCTTATTGAAATTATTATTACTTTAAATTTTTTAAAGGAAAATTTGAATGGCACCATTGGCTAAATATCTCAAGTAGGGGTAAAAAAAAAAAAAATTATTAGAGAGGGGCAATTAAGTAACTTAACCCATAAATTTCTTATTTTGCAACCCCCCCTAACCCGCCGAATTCACGAACAAAGCAGGCGACGGGAAGTCCTGGTCTCACGGAATTCTTCGGTGATTCGCGCAAGACGGAAGGCTTCGGTGATTCGCGCAAGAGGAGGTTCTGGTCATCTGGAGATTGGATTTCGCCAAGTTGGTCCACT